GTGTTTTTATAATAGTATGAAATGTATTTTATCCAATGTATATGACTGTTAAATGAGGTGTTTTTATATGTTATGTAACATTAAAAAAATATATTGTGTTTTACAGTTGGTATATATTATATATGTTTATATAATTTTATTTCAATGATTTCAAAGTGGTATGAGTTGGCAAACATGTAGATTAATATTTGTAAACCTTATCTGTCAAGTGGTGTTACTGCTTAAGGTCTAAGTTTTGCCTAGCCTTTAATTTAACTATGCTGAAAATACATAACATTATTTTTCATAATTTTTTTGCGTAATGTTGTTACCTTTGGCTTTATGTTGGTGTCTGTTGTTTAAAAATGATTATTAGGTAGTTTCATTCACGATTTCAGAATGTTTAATTAGACATTAAATAGATGCTTTTGAAAATTGGTATAAAAGCGATGACAACATTTTGTTATAAATAAAGTTTATTCTAATTTAATTTTTATTTTATTTTAATTGTTTACAATTTATTAAGATTTAGATTATTAGAAAATTGATGTTTACAGAGTTGTTATTAATGATAAGTTGTTGTACCAAGGAAATTGTAGAGGTTTATTTATAAGTAGTTGTTGTACCAAGGAAATTGTAGAGGTTTATTTATAAGTAGTTGTTGTACCAAGGAAATTGTAGAGGTTTATTTATAAAATATACTATTATATATATATTAAATATATATATTAAAAAGAAAATTTTGATTTTCATATGTTTTCACTAACAAATAGTTCAATATATGGTAGCGTCCATATATTAAATTATTTATTAGTGAACACACAAACTATGGCAGCGTCATAGTTTGTGTGGTGGAGGGGGGGGGAATTTACAAACCCACGTTAATAACCTGTTTTGTGTTGTACATAGCCCATTTACCTATTAAAAACTTAACCCATTTACATATTAAAAATTAGCAGCTATTTATATAAATGATAATTATTTTTTGCGTTATGTTGTTAACTTTGCCTTATCTTTATGTTAGTGTCAATTGATAAAAATGATTAAAAGGCAGTTTCAATACTAGAACTCACTGCTTTTATTTATTTACTAAAAGTCATTTAAGACATCATTTCACTATAAATACATTTTTTTTATCAATATTTATCAACTACTACTCAGGTATCACAACAGCTTATCTCTATCAGGTACATTGATTTTCAATTCACATATGCTGTTTTTCTTTGTATTTACTTATTTGTTACATTTTTTAACTTCTGATTTATCATATGGTGTATTTATTTGTTATAGAAGAACAAATCATTTTAAATTTTTATGAATTTTTTAAAAATATCTACTGATATTTAGTCCAGTAAACATTTTAATGTTCAATGTTGCATATACCATTTTTAAGTAGTTTTTTATTCAAGTGGTTTTACAAGCAAGGTATGCAAGCAAATTTGAGCTGAAAAGTTTTTCAGCGTTCAAGGAGAATTAATGTTGTTCTCTGTTTAATTTAATTTGTTCAAATATAGTAATTTTAATAAATGTTTGTTTGTTCTTGGTTTTTTAATTATTTGTTTTTGGATTCTTAAGAACTAGGCAACCTAGCGAAGCAAGGTTTGTTCTATTTTTTAGTGCAATTAAAAAGAGCTGAAGTGCTTTTTGATAAATTTGAGCTATAATATGTTTAATTAGTCACTTCAAATCAATATATATATATTTTTTTTTCTTTTGTTTGTTTTAAATAAAAGGATTAATAATAATAAAATTTTTTGACAGTCGAACTGTTACTGATTTGAGTAAGTTTAATATTTTGTTTTATTATATATTGTATTTATATTAGATATATATTTTATGTATTTAACATGGAAAACTGACTGTAATTTGTTGACAGACAGGGCTCAATTTAACGGTCAAACATCGCCGTCCCTCGGACCATTCTTGAGACCTGCTAGAGGAGGGCAACAAATTGTTTTTAATTTTTTTATTAAAAATGAACAATAGATGGTTGCCCCCATTAATTAGTTCTCAAAAATAGGCCGGGGGCGGCGATGTCCGACCGTTAAATTTGAATATATATACATACATAAATATATTACATTAGACTGACATTGCTTTTTTTTTATATACCAGGTTCTGCATTTATTATTTTTGTGCATTAAGATAGTGCCTGATGGTAAAAATAACTTTGTGCATTGTAGTCTAAACTCTTTGTTAAACTAAAAATAATGTAAATAAATTTTGTTGTATATTTTTAATAACAACTTCTTTACATAAACTTATAAAAGTATATGAATATCAATAAATCTTAATTTAAAATATAGTCTTTGATTAGAAAAGATCACTATTCGTAAAACTATTTTACGTTTATTTATTTATTTGTAACAGTAGTATAATTACTGGTAATATGTTTAATGATAACAGATGTATAATATTAGGCTCAAGGAGGTTTTTAGTGTAAATGGTAATAGGCGACTTTAAAATAATTGTTGTCAAATGAAAGAGGTAGATCTGTTGATGTCTATTAATTTAATTTTACATTAGACACTTAACAATAAAGCAAAGTATGAATTTTACTATTTATAGTAACAATAACAGTTTCAAATTTAAATGATTTTAATTTTTTTTTTTTTTTTGTAATCTCAAACATAATTTTGTTCTTTTTTTTTTAGTTGCCTTTCTCATCACTTGATTATTTTGTTTACTGTTGAGACACGGTTTTAATTTTGTAAATTTAATACGATGTGAAATTTACTATATTGATCATTAAGTCAACAGGTAGAGAGAAGCTGAATCTTAATTAAGCAATGCTGAAAATTAACTTTTAATTAAAGTAAAAATAATTTTGTTTATTGGTAGCATAATAAAACCAGTTACTGTTATTTATTGCATGTCTTTTTTACTTTTTTTAACATGCTGCTTTTGAAAAACTTCATTTCTCTCTCTCTCTCTCTCTCTCTAAGATGAGATTATAATGAGAGTTAGTACAGGGATAATTGATAAAACTCATGTAATAACTGAGCTCTTGCGTATTTTTTAATACTACAATTGATATTGACCATTTATAAGTTATATTTTACAATTTGCTTGCTATTTAAAGATATAATTCTTTAAATTAAAAATAAATAAAAGCAGTAAGTTTCAATAATGAAACTACCTATTATTCATTTTTAACAATAGCCGCCAATGGGAAGGTAAGCCAAGCTGTCTATCAACACAAAACATCACAACAATAACATTACAACAATAAAACATAACAACAAAATCTAGTGAAAATAACAAACTAAATTAAAATATGAAAAGCAAAATTAAAAAACCAATTTAGAGCTAACTATATTTATCTTTTTTTCTGGCATTAAAAGCTGCCAGGTCACACCTCTGCTATAAGTACACCACTTGACTGGCATGGTTATCAAACTTGCTCAACATAATACTAAGTCACACCACTTTGAAAACATGGAAACAACATAATTTAAACATATATACAACTATAAACAAATATAACTTAATATAACACATATAAACACATTTTATAACAATTAAATAACATTTATCAAAAACTAAATATTAGTAATAAATAAAGTTACACATACAAAATGTGCTCACAACCTTTAACAGTAAGTTTTTGAAATGAAAATCTAAAGACTATAAATTAAGAACATTAAAAAGTATAACACTATTTGTGTAACACTTTTCACCTATCATACCTTGAATAGGATGTTTATCAATTTTGAAATTTTAGGTCATATGACGCATTAATGCAGTATAAAAGATCAAAGTTTACATATCTTTTTAAATTTGTTATACACATGCTTGATTGTAAATTATTATATTTATTTTTTTTGAAATGTATTTGTACTCAATTGCTTATTTATTTATAATAAACTTAGTTATTTTTAATAAATTTCTTTAGTTGTGTGCATTTAATGTTTTTAAGATTTAAATTTGAAAAACAAATTTTCTTTTAAAAAAAAATTGTTGAGGGGATACCAAAAGTTAATAACTCCTGTATAATATAAATTAATTTCATATTGATCTTAATAATTAATCAAAGTTCATGTTATAAAAATTACTACAAGAATTTAGTTGATATATTTGTCAATTTAAAAAATGGTGAAGTGTTATTATTTTGTGTTGAACTTAGGAATGTCGATAAAAATGGTTCTACCTTACACTGATATGACCTATGTCAGTTGTAAATTACTCCAATAATGTGTTAAATAATAATTGGTAAATTATTTTACCTCCTCATACTTTTTATGTTAATTTTTTCAATTTAAGGACGTTTTTCTGAAAGGGTATTAGTAAAGAATTCGCAACTTTAAATTGTGGAAAACAGCCAAAAATTAATTATGTAACAGTCTGACCATTACCCGTATTACGGGTTACTTTTTTTTTAAAGAGATCGAAAAGGTATGCAGGAGACTTGGTTGATATAGTTTTACAAATTATGACAGACATTTTGTAAATTATTCTTTGACGTATGGGTAACCATATTTAATGCGGTAGTGGTGTACCATATTTAAGGCGGTAGTGGTGTAGTGGTACCATATTTAATGCGGTAGTGGTGTAGTGGTAAAAGCGCTCGCTTTTTAGGCAAGCGGTTCGGAGTTCGACTCCCACCACGTCCCTGGAAGTACCGCGCTCAACTTAATTTCTCTGCGCAGCGGTCTTGCTTGTCATGGTTCGTGTTTCAGAGTTAAAGAGTTGAGAGAGGGTTGTACCACGATTTACAAAGAAAAAAAAAAAAAAAAAAATGAGTAGCCTCCTTGACTGTAGTGGCCCCCTCAAGCCTTGGGGAGGTTGAAAAAAAAAAAAAAAAAAAAAAAAAAAAAAAAAACAATGGAGCAATTGAAGCAAATTTTCAGATTGTGAACAGAAAGGAGAGTGACAAACAACACAAGCTAACTTATTTTGAATACATTGAAGTTTGTTTAGATTTTTTTGAGAAGTCAGATGACAGTATGGATTCAGTTGAAACCGAAGAAGAAGCAATTAAACTATATACTCAACCTACACAACTGTGAAAAAAGGCGGGAATGACCTCAAGAATATGGATTTCTAATTCAAAGACAGTGATGGAATGCATTCCTATTGAAGCTAGAGCAGCAAAAATAAACATAAACATGGAGAACTTACCTACAGTGAAAACACTGGGCGTATCTTGGGAAGCAGCCGAAGATATGTTTACATTTAGTTACACTCTACCATCAGAACCAGTTACGAATAAACGACTGCTCTTAAAGTACATCTCAAAACTCTTCGATCCACTTGGATTCTTGTCTCCTTTTGTTATTCGAGCAAAAATATTATTTCAAGAACTATGGACGTCAGGAGAAGATTGGAATGAAACGCTACCAGATAAAATAAAACAAAAATCGGATATCTGGTTTAACAAACTGACAAGTATTCACCAATGTAAAATACCACGTTGTTTACGTATCAAAAACAATGATAAAATCATTTATTCAATTCTTCACGTACTTGTCGAAGCTTCACAAACTGCTTTTGGAACAGTATGTTATTTACTTCATGGTTATGAATTTGGTGGAACGTCAAGTTCTTTTGTTTCGTCAAAAACTCGTTTCGCTCCATTAAATTCAATTAGCATTCCCAGATTGGAGTTAATGAGTGCAGTATTAGAATTAAAGCTTGCGCTCTCCGTCGTAGAAGCTTTGCCTTGCACAATAAAAATGGAGAATGTTATTTTCTGGTCGGATAGCTTGAATACCTTATCCTGGATTAAAAATCCAAGTAGAAGAATTAAGACCTTCGTTGCAAACAGAGTTGGAGAAATCCAGTCTCATTCAAATTCAAAACAATGGCGTTACGTACCAACAGGAAAAAACCCTGCGGATTTGTCATCTAGAGAAGTAAATATAAACAACTTTCAAAAAAGTAACTTGTGGTGGACTGGGCCTGATTTCATCCAACAAGAGGAATCCCAATGGCCAACCAAGGTATTGAAAGATATCGAAGATAAATTAATTCTAGAAGTAAAGAACACTTATACTTTGATGGCTATTAAATCCGAAGAAAATGGCGATGACTGGCGATTGGAACCAACCCGCTACTCTAGTTGGAGAAGGTTAACACGAGTTTTAGCCTGGGTACGAAGGTTCCAACATAACTGTTTTAAAAAATGTTTATCATCAGGAACACTCTCAACTGAGGAAATTAACGATGCAGAAACAGAATTAGTTATAAATGCTCAAAAGAAAACATTCGCGGAAGAGTACAATCAATTAATAAATAATAAAGGAATTTCAAAAACTAGTTGCTTAATAAAATTATCGCCACGAATAGATGAAAATAAAATGTTAAGATGCGACAGTCGAATAAAAAATGCTAAATTTCTCTCATTCGATACAAGATACCTAATTGTTTTGCCAAGATATAACCACATAACCAAGTTAATCGTAAAAGATTAGCAGAACAGCATATATGTGGTGTAACGAAGCAGAACAGCATATATGTGGTGTAAATCACATCTTGGCGGAGTTGTCTACAAAGTATTGGGTAGTATCTGGAAGAGAAGAGATAAAAAAATGGAAAGCAGAGTGTGCAGAATGCAAACGAAGAAAAGCAAAGTTAGCAACGCAGATTATAGCATCATTACCAACGAAACGTTTGCAGTTTAGTATGAAAGCCTTTGAAAGGTGTGCTGTTGATTATAGTGGTCCGTTCATAACCATTTAAGGAAGAGGAAAAAAGTGGGCAAAAAGTTGTTTAGCCTTGTTTACTAGTTTGTCTTCACGAGCAGTTCACCTGGAAGTAGCGTTTGCGTTGGACGCCTAAACATTTCTAAATGCATTTTTTAGGATGAGCAGTCGAAGAGGAACGCCAAAAGAAATGATATCGGACAATGGAGGCAACTTTGTATTAGCAAACAAAAAGCTGCGAAGTTTCACTGATGACGAAAAGAAAAGAATAAACGAGGCAACAAGCCATGTTGGTATTAAATGGCATTTTAATCCAACTGCAGCTCCTCATTTCAGAGGAGTTCATGAGATCAAGATAAAACCCGCAAAACGAGCAATTTATTCCCAACTGGGAAATGCGGATATTACTGACGAAGAACTTATTAGAGCGTTTGCTGGGGCAAAAGAACTTATAAACTCACGACCATTAAGTTATCAATCGAGTGATCCTAAAGACTGCTCACCCCTTAGACCAAATCATTTTTTATTTGGACAATTAGGTGGTAAGTTCGCCGCTGATGCAGTGGATACTACTTCATTCAACCCGAAAAGAAGATGGCGACGAGTCCAAGAATAAATAAAACATTTTTGGCATCGCTGAATGAAAGAATGGTTACCCATGCTTGGACCACAAAAAAAATGGAATATCGTAATGGGAAACTTATCGATAGGTGATCTGGTATTGGTGCTCTCCGAAAATACTTCAAAAGGCAATTGGCCACTTGGTCGGGTAACTATGGTTTTTCTTGCAAACGACGGGTTAGTGCGTGTCGGTATAAATAGTCGTGTATAAACTTATAAGAGAGGCGTTTTTTAGTTAGTTAGTGATTAACGTTAAAATCACGTCACGTTTTGTTATTGAGTTTAATACGTCCTACGCGCTTTCAGACGAACACACACACTGTTATACATAAATCAAAAAACAGTAGCGTAACTATAGGCTCGAGGGGTCTTTAGTTATGTAATTCTTAATAGGCAAAAAGTAGACTTTACTATTTAGTGAATGCGTGGTCAATTAACTGGCGAATTATGTGTAACACAAGAATATGAGATTCCCGAATCCTTGGCGTTTGATTAAATGGAACAAGTAAAAACAAATCGCAATAGTTTTTTAATTCTCCACCATTTTTTCCGAGAAGACCAATAACATACAAACTTTTTTTTTTGCTCATTATTGCAGCGTTGATAATGTTCTTTGAATTACCAGAAGTAGATATTGCAAAAAAATTGTTGCCAATCTTTCCTAGACCATCAACTGCCCTTTCGTAAAACGAATGAAAACTGTAGTCGTTTGACCTTGCTGTTAAATTTGGTGTGTCGCAATGAAGTGCCATTGCTGGTTTACGCTCTTCGGAAAATTTTGCCATGAGTTCGCCCGAAAAGTGTTGAGCATCTGAAGCGGAACCACCGTTTCCTGCATTTAAAAGCTTCCCACCATTTTGATACATTGAGATTATTTTTTTAGCAATATCACTAATAACATTGATGTCTAAATTTTTTTTTTATACAAATCGATTCTTTAATAATCATTTTTATTTCTTGTTTTTTCGAAAATTCCATTTTTTTAAATTTAACTGTTATTTAGCTAAATTCTTCACAACAAAATAAAACAAATATATATATATATTATTTTCGCACTCTTTTATTTACTTTAACTCAGTTTACACAACCCCTCTAACTGTGTCTGACGGATATATCCTTCTCTTATTTTTAACTTAAGTGCAATAATTTACTTTAGACAAAAAAAAAATAATAATAAACTTAAAAAAAATGGTAAACAAAACATTTTGCCGCACAAATGAATATGAATGTAAATCTACGTCACATATTTAGACTATATTTAGCCGGATTTTGCAAGATCAAGGAAATAAGCTGATTTACGCAAATCAGATTATTTCCTTGATCTTGATTTTGCATGCAAAAACACAATATTTAAAATAGTATGACTTTCTTTGCAACATCACATCTTTTTGTTTTTCACATTAAAACTTTAAAACAATTAGAAGTGAACCGGTTTAAAAATTTTGAATTTCGGCCGGAACCGTATTCACCGGAACTGTTAATAATATTCCGACCGGAACGAGAATCGTACAAATATAATTTTTTACCTTTGATTGAAAATGAAAGCCTGCACCTCAGCATTGTGGCTACATATATATATATATATATATATATATATATATATACATATATATATATATATATATATATATATATATATATATATATATATATATATATATATATATATATATATACCTTTGATTGAAAATGAAAGCCTGCACCTCAGCATTGTGGCTACATATATATATATATATGTATATATATATATATATATATATATATATATATATATATATATATATATATATATATATATATATATATATATATATATATATATATATATATATATATATATATATATATATATATTTACAACCTATAATATATGAGTATAAATCGGAATTATCCGTAGTCCGTAATAACGGAATTACCCGTAGTCCGGGTAATTCCGGATATTTGCATGTGTCACAATTTCCGGGTATTTCCGAAAAATGTGACACATGCAAATCTATCATAATATGCCATAGCGATTGGCTAGAAGTGCAAGATATTGTTTCCCACCACCAGAAGAGCAATGTATCATCATATTTGATTCAAATATTAATATATCTAATTATTATGTAAATTAATAACTTTTTATTGATTAAAGACATTTTTATTTACCATATTTTTTGAAAAAAAAAATTGTTTAATACCTTAGTCCACTAGTTTTAAAACTAATTTTTGTGAATGAGGTATGATCGGTTGGTTTCGGACAAATATTCGGAAGACAGCTAATCCATTTACATATTAAAAATGAGCAGCTATTTATATAAATAATAATACGTTTAATATAATACACAAACTCATAATCGTTATTCATTTAATATCAATAAAAAGATTTGAAAAAAGTGTTTTTAAAGTGTTTATTTTGAGTAGTAAAAAGCTAATGTTTAATTTTCTAAACAATGACGTTTTGATTTATTTATTTAAAACTTTATTTATTGTTGATTGCATACAGTAGTTTATAGGTAAACTAATTAAAATCAACACAATAAACTGTATAGACAATACAAACAAACAAAAATATTTTAAAAAAATACCCATAAAAAATCAGTAACAGCTAGCATAATAACGTACTTAAATAAAATTTCATGCATAAAAAATGTTAAACAGAAAAAAAAAAGACTTATAAATATTGTAAAAAAAAAAATAACTTCGCAAGTACCATAAAAAGAACAAATAAATTTATAAATTTGTAAAAAATGACATGATTAGTCATAATAATACATAAATTTAAAGTTTTACAAATTCTACAAAAACATTTTTCCCCATTCCAATATAAATTATTTTTTTAAATGGTCGCCAACCATTTTAAATTGGAAGTTTGACTATTTTTGACCAACTATAAGAAAATGAAATTTTTGGGGATTTACGATCATGTAGTTAAAATTAAACCATTTAATAGCGTTTAGTGTTTCGTTTTGCAATCGAAGAATAACACTCTCTAAGTTATTATCACAAACATAGAGAGTATTATCGTCTGCAAAATTGCAAAGCTCAGAGTCTTTAATAAATAGAAAAAGGCCATTTATAAATATATTAAAGAATATTGGTCTTAAGGATTGTTCTTTGAGGCACTACTAATAAATCTCCTAACCACTCAGAAAACGATGAACCCAGTTTAACTCTTTGTTTACGATCGCTTAGATGTAAAAGTTTAAGGCTTTCATGAGAAAAGCTGTAAGCTACCAATTTAGCTATTAATAAATCATGAGAGATCAGGTCGTAAGCTTTTGAGATCCAATAATATTTCTTTTATGCAAGCATTCCTGCAATTTTTTCATTAAAATAAAAAGCGCATGCAGAGTGCCATAACCTCTACAAAAGCCACACAACAGAATTTTTAATCTAGGTTCAATAAATGCCCGTATTTTCTCAAATATAATAAGCTCAAATGCTTTTGAAAGAGCTAGAAGGACACTTATTGGTCGATGACTCCGTTGGGTCATCTTTCTTAAAACAAGGTATGACATCAGCCATTTTTAAAAAGGGAGGAAATATCCAATCAGAAATTCTTTTATTTATTCATTTTGCGAGACTTTCTCTGAAAAACTTATCATAGGACTTTAACATATATGTTGGTATGTCGCCGCTAGGTTTCTCATTAACTTTCATTAAACCAATAATTTAGGAAACATCGTTAGGTAAAATTTTATGAATTTTAATTTTGATACTCGGATGGCTTAAATAACTCTCAACAGCCGTCTTAACAGAGTATTGCGAAATTATCGAATGTTGAGAGATCTCGCCATCATTATTAATAGAGGAAGAGACGTTTATGAAAAAATCGTTAAAAATATTTGAAATTAAATTGTTGTCAAAAATCAGTTCACCATTTTCCACCAAAGTTATGCGTTCATTGGAATTACCAGACTAACTTGAAAGGAATGGTTTACATAATCTCCAAAGAGAGGTATTGGTTGTCTCCAAAGAGAGGTATTGATTGTCGTGTGCAAATTGATGCATCCAAAATACGTTTGCTTAACTTTCCAATTAAAGTTAACCACAATATTTCTTTGTTTTTTATATGATAAAAAAGAAATTTCAGATTTATCAGCCTGATATTTATTTTTTAAGCATGAACAAATCATAACTGGTTTTCCAAATGGCTTGTCATTTCCTCTGAGGATTTTAGTCTTTAATGGTGCATGTAAATTCAAAATTTTACTAAATATTTCATTAAATTTACAAATATCTTAACAAAGTTTTAAATCATTATTATGTTTTTCAAAAAAATATGGCTTAAGAAATTTTTGAAGTGAAAGGATTTGTTCATTAATATATACAAGAAGATCTCTACTTAGTTTAGAAATGTCAAGACGGTAAAAAGTTTTAAAACCTTTTAATAAGAACTGATTGGTTAAAAAAGATCTGTCTAGCTTGGTTTCCCCAATAATAAAAATATCAACAATTATTAATAAAGGAAATAATGTCTGTAAATTTACATTGTATAGAATTTATGTTGATGAATGCTATACTTACGTTATTTGGGAGTTTTAACCTATATTTCTCCAAAACAGACTTATGACCATTTCTTATATATAAAAGAGAATTTTTTAACGCGATTTTTTTTTTAATGTTTCTAATCTTTCGACTTTCCCCATATATAACCTATTTCATTAATTTGGATTTTGTTTCATTTAAATCTAATATGTTGTTTTTATTTGTTTCTTATAATTTTATTTATTGAATGTTTAAACCTGAATAATATTTATATTTGAAATTATTTCCATTTTTCTATTTGGGTTAAACTTAAAATATTTACTGTATTAGACATCCTATACTTTTAAATTATTTAAAGTTTAAGAAGCATTAAAAATGAGACTATTTTCAGAGTCAGGTAAAATTTTTGATGAAAAAAGAGCTAGTTTGTTGCCCAAAACATTGCCAGTAACTTTTTTTGCACCACAATATTTGTAAACCCCTAAAAATCCTTACATAATTAATTATTGCAAACAAAGTTACATT